CTTGGGGGGAGGCGAGGGGGTTGGCGACGGGGCTGGCGTCGGGGTTGGTGATGGGGGTGGCTGTGGTGAGGGCCGCGATGGCGAGGATGAGGGGGGTTGTGAAGTGCATTGTTGGTGAGGTGGGTGGGGGGTGGTGTGGGGTTGAGGAGTTGGGTTGAGGGTGGATGGGGAGAGGGAGTTTCTTGGAGCAGCGGATCGGGGGGTTTATATACACACAGGGCTAGAGATCAGGTTAGGCAGCCGAAGGGTTTGGATTACTTCCACGGATCACCTGGGGTACTGATCTGCGTGGCGGTATACGAATGTTGGTAGTGAAAGAATGAGAGGCTTGATACGATCAGTGGGGTTGAGGGTGTGAGATTATTGCATGGGTGGTGAGCCCTTTCACTGGATTTTATGTCGACGAGTCACTCACGACTCCCGCAACACACACAAGATACACGATGACTGAATCCGCTCATTAAATGATGGAAGGGATGAGAAAGAGGTTATGTCAGGGGGGTTGATAACTGAGGTAAGGACGAGCACGTATTCTGTTTTCATCTAGTTGGTGTTGCAAGCAACGGTGTATGTAAGGATGAGTACATATCCCAACAACAACACATAAGGAGCGCCCTCCACTACAACAACCCGCTACCTCAGACTTCCATTCCATCCTTACCAACAAGCCTTAGTCTCAATCCTCCCTCTATCTCAATCGCACACTCTCTCCAATCTCCAATGCCCTCTCATACCCACAAACCCCAGCCTAAGGGCACTTCCACCCACAGTGCTCCCTGCACGCAGCGTCATTACGACAAACGTCGTTGTGGCAAGTGATGATACACATCCTCGGATTGATCCAACAGACCCAAGTCTTTTTCCACCCAACACGTTAGTTCAAATTACACTATAACAGATGAGAAAGGGGGCGGTGTACCTTCTGGCAGTCCTCGAACTCCTTGTTGCACTTGTCGCAGATGGGGTCGCGGGCGACGAGCGGGTTGGCAGAGGAGATGGCGTTGGCGGAGGGGGAGGTGACGGGGTTGGCGGTGGTGAGGGCCGCGATGAAGAGGAGGAGGGGGGTGGTGTATTTCATGTTTGGTGGGTGTGGTTTGGTTTGGTTTGGTGTGTGGTTTGATGTGTGGTTGAGAAGATTGTGTTGATGATGGATGGAGAGAGGGAGGTTCTGGGGGCAGCTCATCGTGGGTTTATATGCACCTCGGGTGGTGTTCTAGGTAGCGATATACCGACATGGTAATGAAAGAATGTAGGTGTTGATACAGATTAGTGGGGGGTGTAAGGGTGTGGAGTTGGTGCATGGGCGAGCCATTTCACGCGATCGGAGCACGTTTATGTCAGGGGCGTTAATGCATGATTGTATCAAGGCTGAGCACACATTTCAACAACCGCATGTAAGGATGGCCTCAAGAATGTGTGAGTAGATGTAAGGATTACTCCATGTAAACGAAAAGAAATTACACGTAAGGACGGCTACATGCAAGAATGACGTAACATGTGGATGAACACAACACCTCAGAAGCTCAATGCGCAAATTCCTGCTGAACGGCTAAATACATCAATAAAAGCAACGCGATCTTGGTACTACGAGAGAAGACATCGTACCACTGGTGGGTCTGCTTCTATTTTCTGTCATTCACTCGGGTCATGGGAACCCACCCGAGCTTGTGGGCACTCTATGATCCGAGTTCAGCTGCCCCTCATTCTCTCACTCTCGAGGCTTTTGATCAAAACTTTGTCTCAACTTCGAGTTGCATGTAGGACACGTCAGCTGACCACGGTAACAATGAATGCCTTCACTTTCGACTATTGGCGACGTAGCTGTGGATGTATCGGAATACATGATCAGCAGCGTCGAGTGCAGATAGGCGAGAGACTGAGAAAAATTGAAGGAAGCTAGGAATGAATTGTCCTTATCTGAACGCGACTAAGGCCCTCACAGTAGAGAGATGTTAGAAGGCTCATGTCAGGCGTGGAGAAGAACTTCTACACGCGTCACTTTTGCTCAGATACATTCACATTCACATTCAAGAATTCAGTAAGTGTAAGTGTGTAGTTGACATCCATCTTTAGGTAAAGTTACCAAGGATGTATCATGCCACCAAATCCCGTCCATGTTCAGTTTCCCATATTCGCAATGATGACAGGCATTTAGCCAAGACATGTTCTCATCCCAGCCTCCATGCTACCCGTTGCCTTGCATACCTCACTGATGTTCATCCACTGCCGTGTTGCCCGAGGTGTATACCTAAGAAGAACCAGCATGTGGAATAACACAGGGAACAGACTCGACGCATAGCTCATGGCCGCAAGTCACCGTCTCGCCCGGAGGCACGTACTTGCAGGTATCACTGTAGTCACAGTCGTCCATGCAGTCCCGCCACTTAGGACCTTGGAACTTGCCGCCGTCGAGCTTGTCCTTGCATACGTCCTATTGAAGTTAGTTTCAGAGTTGATCACTAAAAGTTATGGGCGCGGAGCTGTCGCAACTTACTTTCTGGCAGTGTTCAAGGCGGTAGATGTCGCACTTCTTGCAAAGCCAAGATTTCTCTGGCTTGCCGCCGCCGCCGGCGAGGACGAGGGTAGAGGCAGCTGCCATGATGATGAGGGAGAGCTTCATGCTTGCGAGTGGGTTGATGTTGTTGAGTTGTTGTGGTTGTTGTTGTTGGTTTTGTGGTGAAGTGGAGGTTGGATGTTTTGAGTGTTTGATCGATGGTGGAGGAGAGAAGAGGAGAGAGGGAGGATGGGCGAGATTATATACATGTGGGTAGCAGGGAGAAGTGGAGCTCTAGGTACCTCGATGGGCAGCTGCGTAAGTCGCGGTGAGGGAGCGGCGACCCGCGGTGAGTGAGAGATATCTAGATAACGCGCGGTGAGCGAGCGGCAGCTACTTCGCAGCTGCTGGAGTTGCTGCAAAGCCGAGAGTCAAAGGTCTGTGCCCAGCCAATCTCTCTCACCTGAGATAGGCCATGGGTACTGGCAAAGGCTTTGTCAGTGACGGAATCTCTGAGTACCCGGATAGTGGCGGTTTCGTGCGTGGACAGCAAGACCTTCTTGATCAGAGAAAAGCAGTATCATTACCCTAAGAATCGATGGAGAGAGTAAGACTGAAACATCTCTTCAGTCAGGAATGGCAGTTGCTCGGCGCAACGTAACCCAAGTCTCATATCTTCTGCTTGACCAGCCATCAAAGCGCATCGTCGTCACAACCAGTCTAGCACTTTCATATCCCATGAGACTGCCAGCGCAAAGCATTTCGAAAGTGCATCGCCCCATTCCGGTTACCGCTCCACCCCGTCGCCTGGTCTCAATTTCCCGTAACGGTTGGATGATCATTCCCCGGGCGGAACGAGGAAGGTGGGTTTTGGGTGCTTAGGTTTCTCAATCCATCCATGACAGTTCAAGTAATCATACTGGGCACACCAGTTTGCACACCAATCGCCAATTGTGCCTGATTTGCACACATAAGTTTGGCACTGGAACGAGCACTCCTCGTTGAATATGAACGAAGGGCAACGATCCTGTGAGTTATGTCAGTGACTGGGTAAGTTTGTGTTGGAACTGGAGGACTTACGGCCATGCATCCTTGATACATTTCACGGCAGGTGTCGCACGAGTGCGAGAATTCGAATTGGCTTTCTGAGGCGAGAGCGGCGGTGCTGAGTGCTGCGATGATGATGGTGGTGATCTTCATGTTGACAAAGATGTGGTAGATGGGTCTTGTGGAGGGTTTGAAGACGGGCCGGGTGGTAGTGTTGGTGTCGAGTTGAAGGGAGGGAAGACGACAATTCGATTTTTGAGTATGCACGCATTACATATGCTGTGTCTCTAGGCGAGCATGCTGGAGTATCTGCATTGGCACTCACACGTAGTGGTAGCGTCATTGGTGCTCAACAAGAACTCGCCGTAAAACATACATCATTGGTGTGGAGTCTCGTCTCAACAGTTATGAATGCTGGTCTTTGTCCACCTCGTTTGCTGATTACCGTTGGTGCCAGAGTTTCGCGTTCGAGGACCCCATTCGTATCACAGGGACGCTGCTCTCGTGACAACGAAGTGGATCCACATTTAGTACCACTGTAGATTGCAGTCTGATGGAGATTTATTATTGATGGATGATGACAAGGATACTTCTAATCACCGAGATGTAATCGCAGGAGAGATGTTCTCTTGAGGCAATCGCGCATCCTACCAAACCCAATCGTTACACATCCGCAGTGCCCCTAAGACATCCATAACAATTCGCGAATGGATACCCGATAATCTCTCGTTCTCTGACCAGCCACCCCACGCCCCTACGCATGATGATGCCAATGCGGCTCCCCGAACTTATCGAAAGTCACCTTGCACTGACGCCGAACACACGGACCGTAATGATTCTCCATCAACTCTACGCATTTCGCCTGACTCTCGTAGAACTGAGGGATATCGGTTGGCCTGTCCAATTCCCAGTTATAGCTGTTCACGTATCTCTGTTTGGGGTTGGGTTAGCGATGTACAAGCGTGTGGAAAAGTCGATGGGGAGAGGAGAAAGTACGTACGTCCATGCATTCGTGATATCTGACACCGCAGTAGAAGCAAGGGGTAGGAATAAACCCTAACCCTCTGGGCATGGCGTCGCTTGAGGGTTCGACATCGCTAGAGGTAGGGACGTCGTACAGGGGAGGGGCGGCGAGGGTCGCGGTGGTGAAGAGAGCGATGAGGGCGAAGGTGAACTTCATCTTGGTGACTTGAGGTGTGGATTTTGGAGTGTTCTCTTCAGACGCCGATGGATCTGCGGTGAGAGCTATATATTATTTTGCTAGTTAGTCCACATTGGTGTGCATTACCATCCTTTAACTAACATCCTTGTCATCCGCCCGTACTGCGATAACGCAGAGCGAGCAGCGGGCCATTCCCAATTTCTGCAACACATGACATCCCATATACCAAGGCCTTCCGCAGAGGAGACACCACAAGCATCAAAGACCCGGTCATGTGTGGTTGATCGTACAGGGCGTCGTGGTGAAGAATGGTAGATGAGGCGGGTCTCTCCATCTCAACAGCAATTTTCCGCCGCACCACATGAATGCTTGGAGCAGAACAACGGTAAAATACCATCGGAACGAATATGAGTATCGGCGTGTGATGCGTAAAGCTGTGGTCGGTTGAGAAGTTCGGACGAATGACGGGGATGGCATGGTGGAACTGTGGGGCTGAGCCATGATCTTACAACCAGCCAACACATTACCAGCACAGGCCGCGCAGATGCGAACATAGCCGCCTTACAGTAGCGCACGGATTTGAAAGATAATAGCTATGCGAATAGAAATTGATAAGCTAAGCAAGGCAACACGTTTGAATGGTCTCGATTTTATGAGAACATGGTCACACACCTCTCTTCCCTAATAACTCTCGCTATCCACGTGTGTTGGCTGGCGCGTCTTATCAGGCATGTACCATACACCCTCTCTAGTCTAGACCCTGAGACCCCACCGGCGGTTCCACTTCGAACAAGACTTCATGGGGTATACCCGCTCGACCCTATTTCCATTTGCCCCAACCAATAGTCGGTTCAGAAAACCCACGATGTAAAGACGGGGGTGTAAAAACCCGGCCGACGCTCTTCAGTTTGGTGCTGGAATAGGCGTGGGTCGCTAAAGTGGGTCCAGCTAGTCACTGGGTACGACGCGAATATGGCGTTGAGGTCTGCGCTTCGTTTTCTGTGGCCTGAACGCCGCATCACTCACGCACCCCGTAGAGATTTCACAACGACGGGTTGTCTTTGTCCATAGGCGGGCTACAACCGCCCATGCTGGCGTCTCCATCATCGACGACAGCCTCGTTATTCACAGCTGCAGTGGGAGGTTCAGGAGCTGGGGCACTCGATTGCGCAGCATTGCTCCACTGTTGTTGCTGATACGATTGCTGAGGCTTCTCTTAGTCGTGACCGTAGATGCTGTCAACATCGCTGTCGTAGTCATTGTTGTCATCGCCTCCAGGAGTTTGCGAGGTCTGGTCTCCAACCGCATCTTCATCTTGCGCTTCGGGCCTAATCGGATGTGTTATCGCACTGAGCTGTGGCAATGGCTTCTGTGGTACACTCAATCCAGAAAGAGGTAATAACTGGGCCCGGAAGTCTGACGCTGACTTTGGAGTGTATCCCGCCGCAGGCTGTGTCGGGTCGTAGGCTGGTGGAGTAGTCGATGAATTATTGGATTTCATGCCCGCTGGAGACTGCACGGGCATGTACGCGGGCGAGGCGAGCGGGGAGTTTGTAGTCGATGTGCTTGCTGTAGGCTGTGCACGATAGCGGGCGGATGCCGGTTTGAGCATGCTTCTTGCATTCGATAGTGCAGCGTCGGGCAGCTTCATGGCTGGGTAGCCTGGACTCCGATGGGGCGGTGTTGCATTACCACTTTGACCGCGTGGTGTACTAAGGTTGCCGAGAGTCGGTATACCTCCATAAGGAGACGTGCTGTTCTTCTTGTGCAGAGTGACTGGGTTATACGAGCGTGCGTAACCTCCCGGTGCGAAACCACCTGCTAGATGTGAAGGCGGTGGCGGCTTGTAATACGAAGATGGGGATGTGGGACTCGAGCTGAATATTGACGGCGTGTTGAGTGTCCTTTGTGTAGTCGGGCGAGGTGGAAGACCAGAACTAGCGACCGGAGATGGTTGCGTCGGCGATGGGGTTGGCGATGTGGTGTTGCCCTCCTTCAGTTTCTGGAATATCGGAAGGTCCAACACCTTTTCCACATCGTTCTTCTCGAAACGGGCTTCTTCCTCAGTATCAAATGAGACTGGACCTCTAAAGCGACCCTTCTTCGGAGTACTAGCTCGTGCACCTGAGCTTTCTTTCTGGGACGTCGCTGGGCTATCTTGGGTTTCCTCCGGTACCTCTGAATCCGAGTCATCAGAATTGTCTCGAGCTCTTCTCTTGGACGCTTTGTTCAATTCATCCAACTGATCCTTTTCCACTTCCTTGGCAAGCGCATCCAGTTCATCGTCATCGATTTCGCCTGACAACGCGCTACTGTCGTCAGAACCAGCCGGAGAGGGATTACCTCGAGGTTCGGCACCTTCAGCATCTGGATCAAACCATGACATCAGCTCCTGTGCATCCTTGTAGTCGTCGTGACTTTCTCCTCGCATTTCGTACGTGTCCATGGGAACTTCGCGGAAGACTTGACCTTGTCGCCCAGTCAGTTCGTCTAGCGACTTCATGCCAGCTGATCGATTTTCCGCATGTTCGGGATTCTCCACGATCTTGTGGTCCTCCCAAAGTTGTACTAAGCGTGTTCTCGGTCTGATGCTTGTGAACTCATCTGGGTGTTTGTATTCGTGTTCAGCGTTATCCGGAGCTTTGTTGAAGTCACTATCCCATACTCGCTGAGTTCCTAAACCTGGCGAAACTTGTGTCTTGTCATTGTTTTCGGTCTGGTCAACGTTAAGATCGACATTCGAAAGCCCGGCGATGAGTTCCTCGTTGTCTTCAGCAACTTCGTTGTTTTCAAGGTTGAAGTCGTCTCCGTAGATTGGTGGCGGTGGAGCTAGATCTTCTCGTGCCGGCTCCTGATCTTCTCCTAATGCATCCTCAACAGCGGCACCAATGATTTCTTGATGTGACACATTATCACCCTCTTCGGCTTGCGTAGCATCCCCAAATGCGGCACCCCAGTTCACGTTTGAGAATGAGAATGGGTCAAACGCATCTGGCGCATCCTTAGGAGGCCCTGGAACAATGGCCGATGGCTGCTGGTTCGGCGAAGAATATTCACCGCCGCCGTTTCCGAGAAGTTCATCGAAACTCTCCTCGTCTGTCGGGTACTGTTGAGGTTCAGACATGGGAGGTGAAGTCTTGATAGGCCCATTCTGCGCCTCATACGCATCAATATCAGCGAATATGTTTTGTTCTGCCATTTCACCGTATTGCTCATCCTCAGGAGACAGATACAGACTTGTTGGCATTTCGCTGTGTTGTCCTAGTCCCTCGAGAGGCACCAGATGTCTCCTCATGTCAGCAGCGGTGGTGGTTGGCGTTTGCTCATTATTGAAGCTAGATTTAGCGATCTTGTCGAAATCGATGTCGTCCAAGTTGATGTTATCCAGATTGATATTGTCCATATTGATGTTGTCCATATTGATGTTGTCCATATTGATGTTGTCCATATTGATGTTGTCCATATTGATGTTGTCCATGTTGATGTTGTCCATATTGATAACGTCCAGATTGGTGTCGTCCAAATCGACATTGACTAGGTCGGACATATCAACGTCTCTGTCGTCGTCGTCGGCGGTAATAGTCGTATCCAAGGCCGCGGGCGTAGTAGTCATGGGGATATCAGCGAGGTTGGAAGCTCCAGGCTGTGCGGATGAGTCGCCATCACCCTCGTTACCGTCGTTGCCATTATCCATCTGATCGTTGGTGTCAGCTTGGTTGTTCAAAGTCTGACCGTCATCATTGTTATGACTATGAGGATCGCTCTCACCGTTCTGCCCCTCGTCGCTCGAAGAAGCCTCGTCGATCCCCTCCATAGGTCCTGAGCCAGCTGAACCCGACGGCGATGGAGGGTTCGCGCCACCACCGTCGCTCGGTGGATCGAAAGGAAAGGGTGTGTCGTCACTACCACTTCCACCTCCACTACCGCCGGCGCCGTTTCCACCGAAAGGACCACCAGGGCCAGGCGGCGCATCTCCACCTTCACCACCAGCCCTTCGAGCCGCGGCTTCACGCTCTCGTCTCATCATGGTCAACATACTAGGACCTCCCAGCAGCCTGTTACGCCACTGTTCTGCGGAGTCTGGATGGCTTGGGTCTGTGGGTCGAGCGGCAGGCCGATTGTAGATGGCAGGAAGGGCGAATTGCGTATCAAGTTCCTCTTGTGTGAACATAGGCGGCTCGGTCTTGCTGGAAGGAAGCGAGCTGAATGGGGCCCAAGGACGACTATTTACTGTGCTGGGAGCTGGTTGCGAGAGTAGGTCGGGGACAGTCTCAGTGACACTGGTAGTGGGCGTAGCTGCTGGAGCGTCGTTTTCTATGCCTCCCATTGGTACATCTGTTGGCGAAGAAGGTTCATTGTCGGGTTCAGGAGTGGCATGCAATGGGGCCGCGGGTATCGGCGTATTGCCCGAATCATTGTCATCTTTACCATCGCCGTTGCCGTCGCCAGACGCGGGTGCTCCACCAGAAGCAACCTCCATAGGAGTCAAGGCCTTCTTCTGCTCAGCCTCTCTTCGCACCTCCTCGCGTTGCCTCTCAAGTGCTGCAGCAATCTCGGCATCTATAGGACTAGCTGGCTGTAGCGGAACTGATGTGCCTATCGTGGGACTTCCACCGAAATCGAACTCATCTTCGCTTTCGTCTTCGTCTTCGCTTTCGTCTTCGTCTTCGTCTTCGTCTTCCTCGCTTTCTTCCACACCTTCATGCTCAGGGTCTTGCTCCTCATCCTCTCCTTGATCTTGCGCTGAACCAGCAGCTGGGGCTTGGTGATCTGGTTCATTGACGGGCTGCGCAGAGTCCTTAAGGGGCGTGTGCTTGGCGGGTGTAGCGAGTTCCGTCATCTCAATGGGAACAAATGTCATGGGGGTGTATTCTCCTTGCGTCTCAGAGGCCGGTGCGTTGACCACGATGGTAGGAAGATCAAACGTAATGTCAAGCGTTGGCTCCGGCTCAGTGGTGTCCGTGGCAGTCTTCGGTACATCAGTAGGTGTTGTGACGGGAGCAGGTACAATCAGAGAATCGGAGGAAATGACTGGTATCGCAGGAGTAGCAATAGTTGAGGGAGTAGTCGTAGCTGGAGGAGCAGGAAACACTGGCGGGAGAGACGCTGTGGTCGTGGGAGTGGTCGTTGTTGGAGGAGTAGGCTCGAACAGAGGAGTACGTTTGAACTCGGCAGCTGGTGTGAGGGTACGCACAGATGCTAATCTATCAGCAGCTACCGGTATCGCTGGTACCTGAGCCGCAGGGTCTGGAATAGCTTCAGTTGTCGTCTCTGACGGGATAGCTGCCATTGCTTCCTCGGGTTTCTCAGTTTCAACAGTAGCCCGGTGCTGTTGCTCAGTCTCTGTAGGCTGAGATATCATCGAAGAATCAGCAGCTGGACTTTCGCTGGCGGCATTTGACGATTGTGGCTCCTCGTGTTCTGCACCGCTCCCCAGGCCAGATTGCTCTAGGAAGTCTTTGTGCTCCTGCTCAGCAGCAGCCCTGGCGGCCTCAATAGCATTTTCTCTTGCTGTGCGCGCCGCTTCACTGTCGAAGAGCCAAGTCATCCAGCGCAGCGGCCAAGAAAGAGGTGCGTCGGTTTGTGTCCATGCATCTGCGGTAGGCGTCTCAGTATCAGCCTGAGCCTGAGCCTGAGCCGGATTTCCAGTCGATTGCTCCTGCGCGGGCGTTTCCACAGGAGATTGCATGGGCGAAGCTTGTTGTTGAGTGGGCAACGCGTCTACCTCGTCTGGCAGCCCTGATAAGTCCTCATCCAAGAGATCAACTGCTTGATTGTCGCTGGGTGGCGGAGGCGCTTGCTCTGGCTGTGCATCTGGAGGCTCGTTGGGAGTATCAGGTTCTTCAATCGAGGGGTTTGTGGGCTCTGACTCTGCGACGCCACTAGTAGGGGCGGGGATTTGTGCTGCGGGAGGACTTGGTGGCGCAGAGCCAGGAGCCACAACTTCATCCGGCAGGTCAGGGAGCGGTTCATTAGGAAAGTCCCGGGCCATGATCGGATCCGGCCGCCAGTAGGCTAGAAGTAGAAGTATGACAGGAACAGTTGCAATGATGATGCCATAGTCCTGAGTGCAAGCAAGGACCCCGTTTGTGCCTAGGACGTACATCATCATGAAACTAGCTGCGAATGTAAACGACGACCGGACCTTATGTGCGGGATATGCTTGAGCGGCTATGGTCCAGCCTACGGTGCATACAATGGTGAATGCGATGATGGCCGTCGCGCGCCATACCCAGTGGTAGGCTAGGCCTTGGCACCAGTTGCTGAGGCAGCGTGTACCCACGGCAGATACGACCGGCTGGATCTGTGCTCTGTAGAACAAGCTCAGGTTCATCGAGATCCTTCCGAATGCTGAAGAAGTCGTTTTCTGGGTGTTTGTGATGAAACTGGAGGTAGCATTCCTAACGGACTTGGTAGCCCATGCCGGCGAGAGGGTAGTGGGTATACGAGAGCTCGTAACCCTTTTCGTTGGGGTAGTAGTGTACACATAAGAGCTCGTTGCGCGTTCCCGCGAAGTTGTACTGAGTTTGCGAGAAGGCGTGACCCAATTCCGTAAAGCTGTCGTGGTTACAGCAGTCCATGAAGTCGACTCCTTAACTGGGGCTGGAATGGACGCAGTGCTAGTAGTAAACTCCTTAACTGTATGAGCAGCTGCACCCGACGTCCTTTCAGTCCAAGGCTGTATGGTGTGCCATATCGCCGTGAAAAGAGACTGGAACAATGGTATGAATGCATGCGTCAATGCCCAGAGCACGAACAACCCAACGACTGGGCCAACCCATACTGGAAGCAACCCATATACTGTCCGGGGACCGAGCATGATTGTCGCGAGCACCCAGCGAATAGCCTCACCGACAGTCTCTGGGTGCCACGGGAAGACAGCGCGACCTCTGACGATTAGCATGAACTTGTACTTAGCCCAAGCTTTTACAACTCGGAGTTTCGCTATGGAGATTCGAGAGACTTCGATGATGCCGTGCACGAGTGAGTCGATATAGGAGAGGCCCACAAGCTTGAGCACGACAGCAAAATGACTGAAAGGTGGGGCAACGCCGCCTCTGAAAAGTCTATCAGCGCACAAAGATGGCTGGTCTATATGGATGACGACGTATACTACTACTGCAACCGCAGCGTAGTATCGTATCCAGGTTCGCGCGGCGATGACCGATCGGTATGAGCCGCCAACCACCAGGTTCAATATGGTGAAGATGGTGTTGCGCGCCTCTTCGTCATAGATGGAAAGGAAGTGTGCCGCTAGTACACTGGCTAAGATAACAACCAAGTCCTGGACGTAGACACTGAGCCATATGACAGTTATCATAACACCGAAGGCGATGCAACAACGAATTAACGTCTCTTTCCTGTGCGGGATGACAGCAGGCGCGCTGGCGGACAGATCCTGGGTCTCAGACATGTCTTCATCCTCGCTTAAATCGCTTTCATCTTCTTCGTGGTGAACAACTTCGCGGATCCTTCGTCCGGCGAAAAGGAGGAAATAAATCGCGATACCGACGAGGGTGGCGTACAACGCCCGGTCTATGATGAAGTGATCGGCTTGCTGCTTTCCCAGGAAGTTGGCTACTGCTTTCTGCCACACGTTGTAGGATACGGATCCGATGCTGCGTGCGTATGCTACAGGTTTGGAGTATGGCAATGTTGGCAAGTGGAATTCCGCGTAGGCGAGATATCCAACGACAAACATATACGCATTGCGCACCATAAATGCCACCATTTCCTGAATGTCCGGGTCATCCTTATACAGATGGTCGCATACGGCGAACAGAATGGATGGCACATATCCCACCATGATATCCGCCATAGTGATAGGGCTACTGTAGTAGGATGGCTCGGTCGGCTTTTGATCTGCTTGCTGTGCGACGTAATTCTCATGAATCGCTCGTCCAAAGTCAGTCCAGCGTGAGAGTTGGGATTTGGCGAATGACGGCGAATCTCGAAGTGGTTTGCTAGCCGGCTTTTGTCTATAAGGTGTAAAGGCTGGCTTGCGTTCTCTCGGCGTAACGGCGCTGTCCTTGGTGCTGGACGCAGGTGCACTGGGAAGTGTCTTACATGACGACGAGTCTTGGAATGATTTCCTAGCCGCCTTTTGTCTGTAATGTGTAAAGGCTGGCTTATGCTTTGTTGTCTTAGAGATAGTGCTCCGGGTGCTTTTGCTAGCCGCATGTTGCCTATAATGTGTAAAGGCTGACTTATGTTCTTTGAGACCAGTTTCAATGCTTGCAGTGCTAGATAGGGGAGCACTGGAAACTGTCTTCGTTCTCTGCGGAATGGTAATGGTTTCAAACGAATAGTCTATGATCTCATTGAACGACTGTGAGGTAACCGGTAATTGTTCAACCACAACTGGAGACGTGGTCCAGGAAGGCACCTTGCCAACGGTGGGGGACCCGGTCGATGTGACGTCTCTGGGTGTATCGCTGATGGTCGATTCTTTCGATGCCGCGGAGGATTGCGAGCCGTGTAGAAGCCTACTCATCCGGGCTTTAAAGCCTGTGTTTGTAACATTGGAAGAATTTGTGCCCAATACTGACGGTACCTCATGAACAGGATTGCTCTTCTCAGTAGAAGTACTCGTAGTCTTTGCTAGTGAACGCTCTGGACTCTTGCTAGATACCTCCGGAAATGTATCTCTCGGAGCACTAGGTTTCCAGGAGATTTGCGAGGAGCTGCTCGCTGTCGAACGAGCAGAGCTTTCTGTGGCAAACTCAGAGGTGTCCTGGATTGATTCGGAAGACGAGGAAGTGTCCAAAACTTCACCCTTGGCTTGCTGTTCGACAGTGAGGGCTGTGTTGCAAGCGGGTGAGACAGAATTTGTGACGGTGATAACGGTAGGACGGCGAACTTTGGTAACTATCGATTCCACGATGTCGGCTGCGTCTTCGGTGGTATGGGCGGGTTTTGTAACGCGAATCGTAGAAGGAATGGGTTTCTGATACCAAACCTTGGCCTGCTCAAAGTTTGGTATGTAATGCGGCACAGCAGCAACGACAGCACCTGCAGCGTAGATACCGGCTGCTACTTCAGGATGCTGGCCCCACAGGTGCGCAAAGGCTTGTATTACAGCGCCAGGAAGAGCGTCCATGGTAGGCGATTTTGCTGGTGCGTCTAGAAAATGTGTTTATCGTTATCGTACTCTCGAGGGTGTGAACACATATGGTGCAATATCATGAGGGCGTGCCTTGTTGAGATGGGCGATGTATGGAGTGTCCCAAACCTGAGAAGACGGCAGACATGTAGCTGATGAGACAAAGCGTCATCTCCAGGTCGTACAAGACAAACAGAATTTCGAGTGAAAGACCGCCACCCTAGCATCAATGTGAAGTTCACATTGCCTTTGTCCGCCGAAAGAGAAAACTTCGGCGTTGTTGTGAGAGACAAGACAATGAAACCAAGAGCGTGCACTTCAGAGACCAATGCAGCATTGCAACATGAGCGTAACTTACACTCAGATGTGGCTCAGCGCGCCAAATGGCGATCCAGTCATCGATATCAGGGTATCGAGCCAGAATAAGGCCTTCGTCACTGGCAGGAATTATCATGCTCTCGTTAGCCATGGAGCCTGCGCATGGTCGGAGACGATGAGGTCTAGGCAAACACGTGGAGCCAGCATCGAGAATAGATACGTCCGTCATAACAGACATATCGCTTCATGACGTGGGCCTGTGTGCGACGGCGATCAGTTCCCATGCCCTTCCACCGACCTGCTCGGCGCTCTGCTCTTCCACAGTCCATCCGGCAAAGCATGCCTTGTAGTCATCCCAGTCCGATTTGGGCCCTGCCCATATCACTCTGTCCACGCTGTCCTGGCCATACTGCGCAAGGTATTCGCGTACTAGCCCAACGCGTCGTGGGTATACGAAAAGCCATGTCGTAGCCTCCGCTGCGAGTGGCTCAAGAAAACGCGTGCCGTGAACGACGCGATGGTTCGAAGAGGGCAAGTATCGGTTCGAGCTCGGCTCTACTTCAGCACCAATGACATGGTACGCGTAGGGTTTGGTGATGAGATAGCTTTCGAGGAGGCCGAAGCCGCTTCCGACGGATAGAGCAAGCGCGGGAGGCTGAGGAAGGAGCGAGGCGAGGTAGGCAATGAGGGTTTCGCTGAGAGCTAAACAGCATCCCGAATAGGCTGTCGGTGAAGTTGTGAGTACTGGCAGTTCCGCGACATCTTCTACTGGGTTTGATGCCTCATTGTCTGACGCGTCCACATCCGGCTGGATTGGTGGCAAGCGCGCCTCGAGGCCCATGATCAGCACGACGACAATTGGTCGCTAAGGCAAATACCAATATACACTGCGGGCGTATGGACGCGATGCTGATACAATTCGGCTCCGTCGTGATTGTGAGGGATGACAGAAGCTTGATGGTTCTTGACGCGACTAGACACGCATGCGGCTAAGCTTGGGAGCTATGGCCCATGACATATGCACATCACATGCAATGCACGAGGACGCCCCGCCCGCCATCACCAAGCATAGCTACAACCACCGACTCTACTGCATCTTGCGTCATCTCTTCCCACTGAAAGCTTTTGAAAGCTACGTGGCGCCACGAGAGCTGTCATGGCCCGCCTCAACCCATTCTCCTTCACGCCTGGGCCAGTCATCTTCTTTACTACCATCGTCTACGTGGGCCTCTTTGCTGCCCTGCTCGTTACCCACCTGACGGTACCGAATTATCCATCCAATCCACCAACCGGCGTCAACCTCACAGAAGCTTGGGGCGACCTCCAGCACATTACCCGCCGGTTCCACCCGTACAACAGCCACGCGAACGACGATGTACGCAAATATCTGCTTGCGCGCATCAAGGCCATCGTTACTTCAAAAGACCTGGAAAAGGGCCAAGTCGAGCTCTTCGATGACCTGACCGCAAACGCCACATTTTCATCTGGCAGCACATCTATCTATTTTGAAGGCACTAATATTATTGTTGCAATCCGCGGTTCTGATGATGACGAACCCTTCAATGGGACTGAGCGCAGTCCGGACAACGGCGGCGTACTTGTGAACGCCCATTACGACTCAGTGAGCAGCGGGTACGGTGCAACTGACGATGGCGTGGGTGTTGTGACCATCTTGCAACTTCTATCCTACTTCACGGAATCCAAGAACTGGCCCAAAAGAACCGTGGTACTGCTGCTTAACAACGGCGAAGAGGATTATCTCAACGGCGCCAAAGCTTTCATGCGGAACCCGATTTCTCAGGTCCCCCATACGTTCGTAAACCTCGAGGGAGCTGGAGCTGGCGGCAGAGCTACCTTGTTCAGGAGCACCGATACCGAAGTCACCCGCTACTACAAAAAGTCTAAATATCCTTTCGGAACAGTCGTAAGCGGAGATGGCTTCAAAAAGGGTTATATTCGAAGCGAAACTGACTACAAAGTCTTCCACGGCGAACTTGGGCTACGCGGCCTGGACATTGCGTTCATGGAGCCCAGGGCCAGATACCACACAGTGGAAGACTCCACACGTGAAACTTCGATGAACTCGCTCTGGCACATACTTTCAGCAGCTCTGGCCTCAACATCCGGATTGGCTTCCATCACCAGTGACGAATTTAGTGGCTCAGAAAGTCTCGATAACGGTAGAGTCAATGCCGGAACTGGAAGCGACGGCGTGTGGTTTGACCTCTTCGGCAAGGTATTCGTCGTTTTCAAGCTACATACCCTTTTCGCTTTGTGCGTCACATTGCTGGTTGTGGCACCTCTCACGTTGATTGGACTCACCTTTGGGCTCTCCAAGGCTGACAAGAACTACCTATTGGCGCGCAAAGCCTACATCCATTCGTCTGACGACGACAATCCAGTACCTTTATACGGCTGGCGCGGCTTCTTTCGTTTCCCCATCATCTTTGTCACTGCAAGTGCTGTTGTGGTCGCATTGGCTTATCTCATCGTCCGGTTCAATCCCTTCATTGTTTATAGCAGCCCATTCGCCGTCTGGAGGTAGGTCGCTCATGTTGTTACTTTGTTCACTGCTAATGATAACAACAGCATGATGCTCTCAGCCTGGATATTCATCGCTTGGTTCCTTGCGCGAGGGGCCGATGCTATGCGACCATCCGCACTCCAGCGCATGTACGCTTTGATCTGGCTGTTCATCGGCTCCTTTGTGCTTCTCACAATCATCACGGTCTTCGTGAACGACTACCAGGTTGCCGCTGGTTATTCTGCGATGTTCTACTTCGCAGCTGTGTTCGCGGCAATCCTCCTCTCCTACCTCGAACTCTTCCTCGCTCCAACCAAATCTGCGTATGCCCGTCATTTCGAGCAAGAAGACGAATCCCGGCGCAACTCAGAGTCCGCAAGCAGGCCCCTTACAGGCAGCACCACCGCTGCACGGTCCGATGATCGCCCCGTGGGAGACGATGACGCCACCGAGACCACTTCACTTTTACGCGGCGATCGACGTGGATTCGCAAGATACGGCGGCAACAGGCGAGACTCCATCAGCGAGAGCGGCGAGGATCATGCTCAAGGGCCCCGGCGAATAGATCTCGGCAACGTGTATCCTGGAGAACAAGAGTGGAGCGGCAAATTACCGAGCTGGATCTGGGTCGTTCAACTGCTACTCTTAGCGCCAATCGTGATCATCCTTGTCGGACAGGTCGCTCTACTCCTCACGTCGGCCCTATACCAGACGCCATCCGATGGTAACTCGCCTCTGTTTATTTACCTCGCCTTCGCAGCGCTTACTGTGTTGTTGCTCGCACCCACCGGCCCGTTTATTCACCGCTTCACATATCACATCCCCACCTTTTTATTCCTGATATGCGTCGCAACCGTCATCTACAACCTTGTTGCGTTCCCTTTCAGCAGGGATCATCGCTTAAAGGTGTACTTCGTCCAGCGGGTTAATTGCGAGACTGGTCATAACGTCGTGTCCCTGACCGGCTTGGACGGCTATGTGCAACGCATTGTTGGCGAGTTACCCAGTGCGCAAGGCCAGCAGCTTGATTGCACGACGCCCGAGGTTGCGACGCGTAAGGAACTAAAGCAGTGCCAGTGGCAGGGTCTTGACGCTAAAGTCGTCCCGAAGACAGCGCAAATCGCGCCATTTGACAACAACACGTACATTGCCAGCTGGCTCAATTACTCGATCCATAAGGGCAATCACTCAAACAAGGCGACGATACGCGTTGTTGGGCATAACACCCGAGCATGTCGCGTGCTTTTCGACTCGCCCATCACAGCGTTGAGCGTCGACGGCGCCGTTTCAGATCCTCGCTTCAAACCCGTCGGTGGGGACGGCGCCCGGGAAGTGCGACTGTGGCATCGCGAATTTGGGCAGCCCTGGAACGTTAGCGTGACTTGGAACGCCAAAGAACAATCGAAACTTTCTGGAAGGGTCGTGTGCATGTGGTCGGACGCCAACACAGGCGACATCCCTGCTTTCGACGAGGTGCAGCACTATCTGCCTGTGTGGGCAATTCCCTCCAAGATTAGCGATGGCTTGGTCGAGGGCTTCAAGCAGTTCGAAATCTAGGGCAGCGGGCTTTAGTTGCGGGGATCCCTGCATGTCTCCGTTACTTTTGCTGCGATATCCATCACGCAAGCAGTCGAGCACGGCGTCACAGCTCACATGCAACCCCTCACTTCAATTACTCATTTATGCGAGCTTCCCCTTTATCTCATCAATGCCCCAACTTGTTCACGATCCATTTGTTACTGTTCTTTTTGGAGTTTGGCGGTATCATGTTCACGGCCATTGCATCTTGTACACCCAACGTATAGCATCTTGACGTCAACTTAATGAACTTTATTATCACGACGCCCAAGGCCACCACCACTCGCTTCACTCTTCGACTCGCCTAATTCCAGCCTCTCGATTCCACGTCTCACCACGAACCGTTCGACAGCTTGGCTCGTACCAGAATGCTGAGAGCGTTTGACGGAGCCCAAGACACTTCACAACGTTATCCGCTACCTACCGACGCAGGATTTACCCCTGCTTTGACCCGAAGGTTTCTTTTAGCTGCGGGAGAGACTATATCATCACCTATAGAGCCATCGACCTTGTCATCGACGTTGACGACTACTCTTGGTTCGATAGCTACTCCAGCTGTCTGTACCGCCAGTCATCC